TATTTTTGTTATTCGATTTAATCGAATAAAATTTAAATGATTCTAAATAGTACTATAAACAAGTTCATAAGTTCTTTGAATAAAGAAGAGTATATAAAAATAAATGTTTAATCAATGAATTCAACCAAGTTCATATTTCGAGAATGTTATTTTCTTGCACTTAATAGACTGTTCTCATTTGTGTTTATAACTAAAACAACTTTTGCTATGCCTTGACTATTTAATTTTAACCAAACACGAAATTTTTTTAATCTATTTGAAATTTCTAAAAAAAACCAATAGGTTGTGGTACCGGTATTTTAAGTATGTTTGCTGCTAAAGCAGGTGCTAAACGTGTTATTGGTATTGATATGTCATCAATTGTTGGTTATGCTCAAGAAATAATTGAAAGTAATAATTTAAGTTCAGTTATAACACTTATTCGAGGCAAAATCGAAGAAGTTGAACTACCTGATGGTATAACTGAAGTTGATATTATTGTTAGTGAATGGATGGGTTATTGTTTATTATATGAATCAATGCTTAATTCAATATTATATGCACGTGATAAATGGCTTAATAAACAAAATGGATTGTTATTTCCTGATAAATGTCAACTTTATATTTGTGGAATTGAAGATAAAAAATATCGAGATGAAAAAATTAATTGGTGGTAAGAAATGTATTAAAGATCTTTATAGTTTTTGAATTTGAAAATCACTTTACTTTGACAACTAGAAAAGAATAAATTGTGTTATTTAAAAAGAAATACTTAAGATTCAAGGTTTTATTCGTATGAGCACAATCGATAGATAATGTTTTATAAGAATATTTGTTCAGAAGAATCGTAAATCATTGACATCTTTTGAGTCTATATTTTGCTAATTAATAAGGAGACCGTGGACTAGAACGAATTTCGAAGAGTTGATGTCCTTATTGCATATGAACTGAACTATTGAATTGGTACTCAGAAGCTTGATCCCGCTGCTCCCTTCTACCAAATTTTATGATCGAATTCTGACCTAAAACTTAACCCATACAGAATTCTTACTTAGATAAGCATATACAGACAAGACCTTTAAAACTAGTCTTCTCTAAATATAAAGCTTTCAAAAATGTACTGTCTCTAGATCGATATTATGTAAAGTTTCACAAGATCAATAAAAAGGAATATTTTCTCGATAGTCAGAAAAAAAAACCAACTTATGTTGCGTAAAACATGAGAAATATATTCACATTCTTTTGGAGAATTTAGAACAGTAGACTATCTCTATATGCAATGAAACTCGATCACCAACAAGATTTAGTTGTATAGTTGATTACTTCTGTGGATTATCAATTGTTAAATTCAACGATTCTAAGAAAATCTTTTCGTTATTTACACTATGTGACGAATTTTAGTATTTTTATTTTAGCATCGCTATTTATTTGTTCCAATAATTCTTTTTACCAAAATGATCTGTACAAATAGCACCATCAAGTCGAATAGACAAAGAAATTCTTCCAAGAGTCTTTAATTTTTTATGTCTGACAATCTATTGAACACTATAGTGTAATCAGGGGGCATCCTGATTGTAAGACAAGAAAAATTTTAAATGAATTCATATCCGTAGGGGTCTAGAACAGAATTATGGTCATTTTATCGAGTTTTCGATCTAGCTTTAAGTATTTACCGAAAAACCAAATAACAAAAGATTTAACTCATAGATACAACTGATGATTTTAAGAATGTTTCTTTGTTGATGTCCTTATTCTTCCTAAGATTTGAGATGGCTACTCTTGAGTCCGATCCACCAATGTATCACATCATGGCAAATATGTTAAGGATAATTTGTTTTATCTTAACAAATATATTTTTATTTTACATGTTTATCTGAAGAAAACTATGAATTATTTTTTTTTATTTTTCAGGTATAATGTGTATGGTTTTGATATGAGTTGTATTCGAAAAGTAGCTATTAAAGAACCACTTGTTGATAGTGTTGATAATCGTCAAGTAATGACAACACATTGTTTACTAAAAGAATTTGATTTAGCAACAGTTCGTGTTGAAGATTTATCATTTACAGCTAATTTTACACTTGATGCTATACGCAATGATTATATTCATGCACTTGTTGCTTATTTTTCAGTTGAATTTAGTAAATGTCATAAATATTGTGGATTTTCAACTGGACCTGATGCACCATATACACATTGGAAACAAACTTTATTTTATTTTGATCATGATGATGAAGATATTATGATGCATAAAGGTGAAAAATTAACTGGTAAATTAAATTTACGACCAAATCCAAAAAATGATCGTGATTTGGATTTTGACATTGATTTTACTGTTCAAGGACAAGATACACAAACAAAATATCATGGAGAATATCGAATGCATTAGAACAAAAACAAAAAAAAAAAACTTTATAATTCCGTTTATATAACCTAGTCAGACATCTATCTGAACATGAACTAAACAAACTTATTATTATTGTTGTTGTTGTTGTTGTTTTTTTTTCCTTTTAAACACTTTTGTTGTTTGTTTCTAATTATGGTTGACAATGTAACCTATGATGATATTATGTTTGTTTTTTTCTTGTCAGAAGAAAAACAAGAATACATTAAAAACAAATCATCTTGCTTTTCTCTTTTGAGATCATTTTCAAAGAAAAAAAAAACAGAATGTTTCGAACTTTTGTCAGATATTTAACAAGTAAAACATTCATTAATCCAAAACCATTAGCACCAAGTAAACCAAAAGCATCTATTGATTGCGTAAGTAAATATGACACACTATACAATGATACATATATATATATATATGTATGTGAAATATTTCATATAGGATAATTATTTTCAAGATGAACTTGAAATTCGACTTATTGCTGGAAAAGGTGGTGATGGAAAATCGTCATTTTCAAAAACTTTTCAGAATGAATTCGGAGGACCTAATGGAGGAGATGGTGGCAATGGTGCTCACATTATCCTTCAAGGTAAACATATACAACAATGGAGATATCTTATGTGAAACATAATCTTAAGGTAGATCGTTCCGAAAAGCTTGTGGATTTAAAACATTGTTAATTTTTTGATAATGTACTTACGCGCAAGTATCTAGCTGAGAGTAAAGGCAAGAACGACACTTGGGGTTGCCAATCAGCTGTTGATGAAGGCTAATTTATCAGAGCTACGACTTTCTTTTGTTACAACTTAAACTGACGATTCATCTATAATCCTGGCAACCTCCTCGCTTTTTTGTTGTAAAATAAATTTTAAAATGTATTTTAGCATCGAAATGTATAGCATCATTAAATAATATGAAAGATTTATACAAAGCTGATAATGGAGAACCAGGTGAAGCAAATTTTAAAAAAGGCAAATCAGCCGAACATCTGATTGTTCAAGTAAACAAAATATTTTATTGTTTTAATCACATCTACGTTTGCTTTAAAGGTACCCGTAGGTACAATTGTGAAGAAAATCAATGGAAATATTGTTTGTGAACTGAGAAAGCATGAACAGAAATTTATTGCTGCTCGCGGAGGTTTAGGTGAGATTGAGAGGTTAGTCTAATAATCTCGATATTCAATAAATGTTTTTTTTTTGTTTCATTTCATTTCTATAGGTGGTAAAGGTAATTATTATTTTTTATCAAATATGAATCGAGCACCAACTGAATGTGAATTGGGCGCTAATGGCGATAGGAAAAAATATAAACTTGAACTTCAACTTATAGCACATTTTGGTTTGGTAAATTATTCATTTGCTTATCAATCATTATTTTATTGATGTTAGTTGTTTTGTTTTTTTTTTGTTAGCTTGGATTTCCAAATGCTGGTAAAAGTAGTCTTTTACGTGCAATATCAAGAGCACGACCAATCGTTGGTGATTATGAATTTACTACACGTCAACCACAACTTGGTTCAATTGAATATGATGATTTCGTACAAATTCATGGTTGAAATCATATTTATTTATTTGTGTTTAATTTTTATTTTGTTCTTTCGTTTTTCAGTGGCTGATATTCCAGGTATTGTACCCGGTGCTAGTAAACAAGAACATGGCTTAGGAAGTAAATTTTTACGTCATATTGAACGATGTTTAGCATTACTTCTTATTATTGATATGAGTGTTGAACGTCCATGGGAACAATATGATTTATTAATGAATGAATTACGTGAATATAAAATGGATTTAATAAAAAAGCCTATTACGGTTATTGGAAATAAAATGGATGATCATGATGCTAAACTTCAACTTGATCAAACACGACAATATATACCATTTCCGTTGCTACCGATATCCACAATAGAAAAAATAAACATTGATAAATTATTGTTATATTTAAGAAAACAGTATGATGAATTGATAACTGATGAATGGCGTGATCGAATAAAATAAATAATAAACAAAAGAGAAACCAGTTTTATTTTCACGAAAAGATTTAATACATCATTTGATAATTAAATTTACAACAAAATACTTAGAGCATACCAAGAGTAGTAGTAGAGATATTGGACGGCGTTTCTCCAAAGATCGAATTGACGAATAAACATCAGAGATAAAATTGATTCATATTCTTTTGGAACCTAATCGAACTGTGATTGTCATGGATGAGAGGCTACGTTCTTCGGCATATATCAACAAGGTACAGTGTTCAAACTTCGTTACTATATCCATGGAATGGTTCTGAGATAGTCACATAGTGTGTATGGAGAGCTCAAGAACTCTGCAAAAGACTGACCTTCCATCTAGAGCTATGGCTAGTATGACTTGTAGAAAAGATATGGGGCCAATGAACCTGTCGTTAGGCAGCGCATCATACCAAAAAGTAGCCAAAAAGTAAGATATTCTTCCTTTCTACGAACCGATCTCATCTCTGATAACCAGAACGATTCTTTCAAACATTTAATGGAATAAAGACTGTATCAAACCATACAAATAGAAAGTTACTTTAAGCTTCTTATAAGACATTAAAATATGTCCGCCACTACTTTTGGTATGCCCCAAAGTAATGTAAATTTAATAGATAGTTAATCAAATGGTAATTTATCTTCAGATGGTAATTCAGACCAATTAATCTCGTCAAGACCAGCAGCTTTAAGATAAGCATTTGTTTTAGAAAAATGCTTCAAAAAATAGATTCATTTTAGTAATTAAATACAATTCAACTTCTCATATACTTTGCAATTGAAGAAACCATTAGAAGCAGATAATGGTGATGGATGAGCAGCTTTTAACACATAATGACGCTTCTAAATATAAAAGAATACGAAATATTCATATTTTGCAAAAATCTTTAATTATATAACTGGATCAATTTGACTTCCTTTACGTTGAGCATCTTTACCCCAAAGTAAAAAAACAATATTCGATGATTGATCATTAAGATATTGAATAATAGCATCCTAAACAAAACATTTCGTGTTTTTTTTTTCAAAATCGATTAAATAATAATGTGATACAGTAAATTTTTCCCATCCTTTGTCTCGATGAGAATTAGCTTTTTGTTTTTCAACAGTTAAACAAGCATTAAGTAATAAAACACCTTGTCTGGCCCAACCAGATAATGTTCCATGTTTTGGTATTATAAAATCAGGTATATCACTTTCAAGTTCTTTAAATATGTTTTGTAGACTAGAAAATAAAATAATTTATATATTCATAAAGAAAAAAAAAACATAATATTGATAAAACCTCGGTGGTATTGGAATATTTTTTCGTACAGAAAAACTTAGTCCATGTGCTTGATTAGGTCCATGATATGGATCTTGTCCTAGTATAACAACTTTAACTTGGTTTAATTCACACATACGTGTAAATGTAAATACATGGCGTGGTGGTGGATAAATGACTATGCCTTTTTCTCGTTGGTCTGCAATAAAATTTGCTAACTATTGAAAATAAATAGAAATATATTGTTTTCTTTTATCTCGATAATACTTTTTTAAAATATTCTTTTGAAAATTCTTTTTCAAATGTTTTATACCATGATAGACCCATATTAACAACTAAGCCACGTGTTCTTTGAGTTTCAAGTTTCATTTTTTCTAATAATAAATTATTTTCAATAGATTCATTTTCTTCAGTTTTTGGTAAAATAATAATTGAATTCGATTTTGATATGGACGACACTGTTTTTGCTTGCTAACGATTGGACATAGAATTCAAAAGAGTGAAGAAATTTCTTTTCACAAAAAGACAAGAACAACAGTTAAGTTTGTTTCAATGTAAACTTAATTCATTTTCTAAACCTACGATTAGAAGTAGGACTTTCGTGTTCCTTCTCTCAGAACGAAGAATGTATAAATGTTTCAAATAAAAAAGGTCAATCAAAATGTGTAAACATCTCATACACTGACACCTCTACTGTGCTGTTTTCGTTCGAACACAGCAGGTATTGGCATCTGCACGAATACTTATGTATCGTAGATGATTTTTCTAATTACACACGAAATATTGTAGAACGGTGGTTGATTGCTTAAGGAGCTTTTTAACGACTTGATGGAAATTGCAACAACATCTACGATTGTAAACAGCTATCTATTGAAAAAAATATTATCTTTTCGATTTATTGATCTCTATTACTTTACTTTTAATCTTGTCAATGAAAATTTTTTTCTGATTTCCATTGATTTCTAATATAGAAATCAGTTTATTAGCTCCTTGATTTATCAAAATCGACAAGATCTCCTGTTAAAATCTATCGGTGAATCAATTGAAGTTTTTATTTGCTCCGATAAATACTTTCTTTTTCGTTTTCTCTTTCCTTGAAAAAAAAATTGGTTTTGGGACAAACACATGATATGATAACCCTCAAGGCGCGTTTCCTATAAAATTCAATTTGTGACTAAGTGCATAAAATTGAATCCATTTTTTAATTTAAAGAAGATACTTGAGGGAGTGTTGCTAGAGCGTCTCTTTTTGATATTGCTAATTTTATGGAAAAGATGGTCGAATAATGATGGTGAAAATTAAGTTTGAAGTCACTAGTCAAAAGTGTTTTCTTTCCAATAAAAAAGTTATTAACAAATCACAAGAAATTAGACTGAAATTTTTTTTTTTAATATATGATTGGCTATCCTCATATATCTACCGAATATAGGTTTGGTCTACTACTTTCAAGAGTTGTTCATTGATCGTTATCATCAATTAATATTATAGATCTACTTATATTAAGACGTTAATGCTGTGTACAGTTCCATACAAATCATGTTTTTTTTACATGTGTGACTCTTTTTGAAAGAATCTTCACCAATTAAAAAAATGAATAGAAGACGATTACGAAGCTGAGAAATATCATCGTAATGTAGTTTTACCTCTTTAATTGCTTCATGTTGAATAGTATTAGAATTTTCAAATTGTTTTTTGAAAAAATAAGTTATTGTTCTCTTTTGAATCATACTATGTTATCAATCTAAAAGTATTGATCATTTAAAAATTTTAAGACATCCTAGAAAAAAGCTTTTTCTCTATGTTGGTGAATAATCACTCTAATGAAAAATACAAAACAAATTTTATCGCTTTACAAATTGATCATTTACCACACACTATAAAAAAAAACATCATAAAAAAGTTATCTTTTGCTTTGCTTTTATCGCTATTGTTCTATTTGGTAAATGCTTTTGAACTTGAATGTACATGCTAAATAAGCGTTTGATGAAATTATATTTAAAAAAAATACAAAAAACTTTTGTATTAGTCATGTCGATTTACAAACCATTCTTGTGTTTTGTCAACGCTCACGAACATCACATTTTAGTTTTGATAGAGATTGTGTTCTTGACGTTTTTTTTTGGCTCATTTTTTTAAAATCAGTAACGTTTTTTATTACGATAAACCTCTGGTAAAAATATCACTATTCATCTTGAGTTTTTCAATCACTTTCTGTTTTCTTCTTCTATTATTTCGATTTCAGGGTGCATGTGCAGTTTAAGCATACTATACATTCAATTAGTGTATTGTGCACATCAACCACAGTGAAATGAGGGCGATAGTTTGTTCAAACTGCGTATATACCTAACCAACATAGTGTCTGTATTAGACGAATGACTGGACGTGACTGATACAGAAATGATCGATATAATATGGAATACAATTTGATTGGCATAATTTAACAAAGATAAATGACGTTCACCATTGAATATTGTGTATGAATATAACTTATTTCCACCTCACCAACCATTGTCCTGCAATCAAGGAATTTACAAAACTTACGTCATATTTGAGCGACCCCTACCCTCTCTAGAATAATCAGTCGTAATTAGTGGCGGACCTGATGTTCAATAAACTTGATTATGTAACCATCAACAAATGATAGTCAAAAACGAATCATCGTCTGAGGAACTTAACCCTTCATAAACAATGCTCAAAATAGTAGCGGTGGTGGGTGTGGAGTGTAGGTGTTAAATCCAATGTTTCAAGACTTCTACCACATGCATGGTCACACCTATCCACACTTACACCCAGTG